CCATTTTTGGAACAAAGCTCCTAAGTCGCTTACTGACTTTTTCCGAATCTGTGACAGTGAGTTGCCTTTAGAGTAAAGGGCTGTGTCATCTGCGAAGAGGACTAGTTTAACACCATTCGACGGGATAGGGATGTCGTTGGTGAATAGTATATATAGGAGGGGGGCGAGCACAGAGCCTTGAGGGACACCGGCTTTGATTTGACGAGTAGAGGATAGCGTGCCTTCGTGTCTAAAGCGAAAGATACGATCCTTCAGATAGGAGGCTACAAGGCGAACGAGACGGTCAGGGAGGCCTAAGTCGTACAATTTGTAGATAAGGCCCTCGAGCCAGACTCTGTCGAATGCCTTGGCAATGTCGAAAAAGACCGCGATGTTTTTTTGACGACGAGGATAAAAACCGCTGAGGATATATTCCACTATGCGGTGAACTTGCTGGGGGCACGAGTGTTTGGCTCGAAACCCGAATTGTTGTGGGATGACAAGAGGGTCGCCGTCTGTGGGAAACAAATGGCGCCTCATGCGCACGAGAATGACTCGTTCGAAAAGTTTGCCCATGGCCTTGAGGAGGCTGACGGGACGGTGATTGGAGGGGAGGTGGTGAAGTTTGCCTGGCTTGCGAATGCCAATGACAGTTGCCTCTTTCCAAGAGGTGGGAAAGTAGCTGAATTTGAAGCAGGCGTCAACGCCTGACTAAGACTATGGCCAATAAGGCGATCACCTGTTCCGGAAAATGTGTGAACGGGCTCGGTTGGAGATTCCATCCGCACCCGGTGCTTTTTTGGGCTTAAGTCCTTTGACGGTAGATGAAATCTCATCTTTGGACACAGTGATAGGGTCAGAGGCGGTGGGGGGCGAGTTCCGGCGACGGACCTCGTCCTCCACTAGTTGGATGTGTATGGGGTCAGTGGGTTGTGAGCTGGGAGAGCATTGAGCGGCGACGCTGTCGGCGAAGCACTCAGCCTTTTCTTCGTCCTTGAAGGCAATAGAGCCGTCGGGACGAGACAGAGGGGGAGTATACGTTATGGCGTCTATCCGGAGGGCTCTCGCCATCTGGTAGTACGCTGTGTGGAAGGCAGAGATTTTGTCCATGAGATTGCCCCATTCGAGGTCTCTCTAATCTTGGAGGCGGTAACGGAGTTTGCGTTGAAGGCGGTGAGCCGCGTGTCTATATTCGGGAGTGGGATAGCGTGCAGCTCTACGGAGGGCAGCTTTTTTGGCTTTTAGCAGGTTGCTAATATCTAGGGGAAGACTAGTTTTAGCAACCGGGACGACCTTTTCATTCTCTTTAAGAGAGGATGTTATAAGTGAGGTGAGATTTTCGACCGCGGTGTCTATTTTCCCCGTACTGTCGAGGGCGTCGGAAGAAAGGGTTATGGAAGGGTCCGGAGAGTCTATAGCCGAGGCTAGAGACTCTTCAAACCCTTCCAGTTGGTGTAGGTTTTGGAAGTGGGAGTTGGAGATGGCTGATGGCCAAGAAGGAGGGATACAGAACGGTGGTCGGATCCAGTAGGTTAAAGGAGACTCAATTAACTAGAGCAAAGTCTAGCACGTCAGGAGGGTAGTTAACGTTGTCGGGACAGTGGGTGACAGCGAGGGGGCTGTAGAAAGTCAGGTCGAGAGACAGTGATATTGAGCAGCATCCTGCCACTGCTAGTAGTGCGGCAGGTCCATTCAGTATGGTTGGAGTTAAAATCTCCAAACATAATGACTGAGTCGCTTAATGCAAGGATGGCTTCGAAATCACTCTTAACGGGGAGGGTTCCGCTAGGGATATAGCAAGAGGCTATAATGATAGACTGGTGTCCAGTCATGGCTAATCTAGTGATAGTGGCTTCCATACTGGTAAGCGTCGGAGTGGGGATGTGGGAGCAATGAAGGGACTTTTTGTAATAAATGGCAGTACCGCCGCCTTTGCGGTCGGGTCTGTCATTACGAAGAAGTGAATAATTTTTAAGTGAGAGGCCTTTAGAGACCTTAGGGCTGAGGTGGGTCTCCTGAAAGAGGAAGACGTCGGCTTCGCGATCTCGAAGAAATAGCCTAAACTCTGGGAGATTATTTCGCAATATTTCGGATATTGAACGAAACAAGCGACAAACCCTTTAGTTTGATACGACCGTGCGATATTGCGGGAGCAGAGGGCTCCGGTATAATGTTTTTAGTTTTTACAACGACCTGAGTAGATTGATGTGCTCAGAAAGAGCAAGGAGACAGTCCTATGGTAACTGAGCAGTGCGCAGCTTACGCGCAACGATAGAGATTTCCCCTATATTGATCTTATTCATAGTGTTATACACTAGGCTTAGATCGTCTGCTACAGGGTCTGCCTGTTTTTGTGGGGCGGCGGAGGTCCGCGGGATGTTGGTTGCCTTTGGGAACCAAGGGTTTATTGGGAGCGGCGCAGGCTGGGAGAGCGGAAGGCTCATAAGGGGCCGAGGAGGGCCCTGAGGGGGCCGATAGATGCCCTGTGTGGGCTGAGATGAGCCCTGAGGGGGCTGTGGTAGGGGCTGGCCCTGGCGGGGCATGCGGCTTCCAAGAGCCGGAAACGGTCATTGACCTGGGGTGGAGCTTTGCGGCTCAGAAGTGGGCGAGGAACCCGAGGGCAGCCCCCTAAAGTTGGCCGGGTGGCCTGTTTGTCCGCATAGGACACATTCGGGTGGGGATTCGGAGTTTTTGGGCCGAGGGCACTCTTTCGAGTGATGAGGTTCTAGGCACTTAACGCACCTTGGTGGGGCTGAGCAGTTGGCTGCCGCATGCCCGTAGAGTTGGCAGCGGTGGCACTGCGCTGGGTAACCGCGCCGGTGTGGGGCTTCGACCTTTACACGCGACAGGCCGCACACAGTGCGTACCTCGCGGCAGATGGCCTTCGCCTCCGGCACATTGATGAGAACGAGGAGGGCGAGGTTAAATCTCTCGCCCCTGCTGCTGTGCATTTTGTGCACAGCCTCTATGAGGAAGCCTTGGGACTTAAGGTCTTCCAGAATGTCCCCGTTTGCAAGTTCATAAGGAACTCCGCGGAGGACCGCCTTAACCTTCCTTTCTTCGGCGAGAGCGTAGCTTGGATTTCACTAGCGTGAATTGGGTAGAGTCTGTGATTGTTCCTTCGGAGTCGGATGACTCCGAGGAGCCGGTGGAGCTGAGGGCGGTCCTCTTTCGGGAGGAGGAGGTAACGGACGTGGTGTCCGAGTACTCCATATCGGAGTCGGGGGGACGCGGGCGAGTCGGTCTGCAGGGCAGCCGCTTGGGTGCCGTGGTGCTTGCTTATTTAGGGCAATCTCTTATTTATTGTATGGATACCAAATATTGGCTAGAGAAATTCGGGAGCAAATTAGGGATTACGTTATTGCGGTCATTTTGTTAAGCTATTGCATAGCTTTTATCGCAGGCTTTGAGCGCGGCGACTGAATCAAGAAATTCCGTAACGAAAAAAAACTTAAGACCCGAAAACCTAACATCGTCTAACGTCGTTTAAGTTCGGCAGACTTCGGCACGGTGTTTATGTGCGTACTACTAGACGTATGCGTGTAGACTATAATTGCATATATTGTAAGATAATAAAAATATTTTAAACAATAATATAGTTTATTGCAAGAACCATATACCTGAATTTAGAGTATTTAACAAACACAGACTTTATAGAAAATTATCGTATGTCGAAAGAACTCGTTAGTTACCATAAACCAATAGTTTCAATGATAAAAATTCCTGAATAACCTACATCTACTTGTAAGATAATAAAAATATTTTAAACAATATTAACTTCTTATTTACATTTATTCAATAAAAGAAAAAAAATTTTTTTCTTATCGGTCACCATGCTCAAAAAGTGTAACTTGAATTAATATCAAAGAAAAAACTTGAATTGATATCAAAGAAAAAATATAAGTACTGCATAAATAAAATAAATAAATAATTATAATTGCATAAGTTGATAAAAATGCTATGCAATTTAGCTTTACCGCGGCAGTCCCCGAGTGCCACTCGGGGCACTCGGGGACTGCCGCGACTTTTGTTATAAAATAAAACACAAGCGCAAGCGTACACTTTGCCCTATTCGTTTCTTGCTTCGTTTGTGGGTTCTTTTATAAAACAGTTACAGATTGTATAATCTGTGTTCAGAGTAGTCACTTCAGAGTATCTTTCTAAGTATTCGCGACAGTTTAGAAATAAATCATCATCACTTGGAACAGAAAAATTACTGATTTCACGCGAACGAAGTCGCGGGCACAGCTAGTACATAAATAAGGTATAAAGTGATGTAGAATCTATTAAAAAATTCTACTTCTGTCAAAAATACGCTATATCAAAAATATAATTTGTTAAATATTAGATAGATATGTCAAATGATAAAACATAAGTATTCAAAGAAAAAGAATCTGTAATCTAGTTAGATTAAGAGGGAGCATACGGCTCACCTGAATGCAATTAGTGTCGTCGCTAACTGTCATGAGAACAAGTGCAAAATCAGGAGAATTGCAGGTGCATTGCCGGCCATTTAATAAGGAGTAAGCGCGTGAAGGTCTTTTAGATAAGCCTTATCGAAAAAAATCTAATTTTTATTAAAAGCTTAAGACGGTAGAATTATTATAACGGTAGCACACTCACTCGATGACGTCTCTGCACGTGTAGGTAAGCTGCGAGGCTGCGAGCATTGAATAACAATGAAGAGAAGCGCAGCCCTTAATAAATAATATTCGCACACATTTGTATGCGAACTTAACAGTTATTTCCTCTCTATACACAAAATGCTCAGTGCCGCTTTAGTGCTCATCACACTACATAGCTAGTAATGTATTCTTTATTTTTAATGGTAACTATGTAAATGTAAAAAAGTTCCCCATTTTAAGCGGTTATATTCGACAAGTATGCTCGTTGCTCGCGTTCCTTGAGCACATGTTCCTGTGGTGATTCACTGCGGACAAAGAAAAAAGTAATCGGACGGCGTCGAACGCAAGTGACGCAGTAAGTCATTGATCCCGGTACGTTCCCCGAGGGCCGACGCCATGTCGGAGCTCGCGGCCGAGTTCGGCGCGCTGCAGCCTCTAGTCCCGCCGCTCGCCCTCGCGGTTTGCATAGCGTGCGTCGCTGGCGCCGGGGCTCTCGCCAACTGCGCGCTTTTAGCCGGCCTGTTCAAGCGCTCAAGAAACGGTAAATGTTCAAACTTTAATACAAGTTTACCAATACCAAATTAAAATAAGTAAATATGTGATACTAAAACGTTTAGAATTACTGGCCATTATTGTTTTTCAAACTTTTTTTACTTTTAAATTTCTTATATTTTTATTTAAAATATTTTTCTAATGCAAACAAATGTACCAATTCGTAGTTAGCTTTGCTTCTATCTACATGGTATCGTTTGTGACCGATAACGTATTTCGTTCAAGTATAAGCCATAAACGTAAAATGCTTTGTCATTTAATTTGTTATTTGTATGAAAAAATCAGGTCTGATGTTCACTTTATTCTACCTCCCTTAATTACGGCATCATACGTACATGATTTTTTCTGCACAGTTTTAAATAGCACAATTTCTTTTAATAGCACAGTACCTAATAGATACCTTCGATAACTTTAATATCGATGTTCACGTAAGACGGGCGAGCGATTTTTGCTTAGCGTCATAAAGTTCTTAAGGGATGACTATTATAAACTTTTCAAGTTTTAGTTAAACTTAATTTTAAATACAAAATTTCATTCAAATCATTTGGAACGTCTCCGAAAAACCTTTGTGAGAACCAAAGATTTAAATGTGAGAACATGTGAGCAACTTAAAATACAAAATTTTCTGCTCGCTTAAAGTATAAATTAATTATCTACCACTTATTTAGTTTGACTTTAAAATTAGCCTTAACTTTTTAATGATGCCACTTAAAATATCCAAAAATCAATAAACCTAAAAATTGCTTTCACTGAATACTTTTCATGAAGCATTGAAAGTTTAAAGTGCTGAAAATATAGATAATATATATTAATAAATACTTCTTTATAATATAACTTTATTTAAACACTCACATACACTTGAGAAGAGTGGTAATATTTTAATAAAGTGGAGAGATGGCGTGACGTTACTGTTCTTTTTTTGTATTTTTTTTTCTTTTCAGGCCTGGTTTCTATACTCATACAATTATCTATAGCAGACTTAATATTGCTGGGAACTTCGATTGCACCAGAGCTATGGGCCTTCAACACAAGAACTTGGTATTTTGGCAGGAGTGCTTGTATAGCATATCGTGGGCTAAATGTTGTCTCTACGACGGCATCTTTATATTTAGTTGCTACAATAGCTCTTCACGCGTTGGCTACTGTAGGCCTAGAAGAAAAAATTACACAAAGTTCTATGAAAAGGGATGATCGTAATGATGATGATGAAATAAGGTCATCACGACACAGCCTCGTCACTAGCGACACCTCAACTCCACCTCGAACCATGAACGTAGATTACCGTTTGACCGACACAAGAATCCGAATAGCTCCTCCAGTAGCTTTTGTATGGGTGTTATCTGCATCGCTTAGCATTCCGGAATTTGTATTGGCCACTACAGTCCATTTTGACCACGATGTAGTGCTATGCACCCTTGTGGACACCACTCATAGACTTAGTATGCATTCGTTACTTGCAGTTTTCAACTTGTTCTTACCCTTTATGATAATGAGCACTGCCGCTATTTTAATAATTATCAAACTAAAGTCAAACAAAAGACGCTCTGAATCTAGAGAGGGTGAGACACATTCCGCGCTAAAATTATCACTGTTTTTAATTTCTATGTATATCATTCTTTGCACCCCACGTTCTATTGTTATGGTGTACAGTTTGTACTCGACATCAACAGCTGATAATGAATATGCTGTAGAGCAACCGAATTACACTTTAGCTTTAGCTAATTTGGCTTGCAGCTGTATTTATCTTGCTGCAATTGTTGTGCGTCCCTTACTTTGTATAACACTTCTTCCGTGTTTAAGAAAAACCTTTTTTGATCGAAGAAATTCCAACATGATTGATATTTAAATTTAATGACAACAACTGTGATCTTTTTTATGTAGGAATGGAGTACATTGTGTTTTATAAAATGTAAAATTATTAATAAATTTATGACATTGAATTTTTAGTTTTTTCTTTTCTATATCCTTTATAAAAAAGCATTATTGTATACCAGCTAGTACCTGGCGCATTTGCTGCCGCAGAAGAAGAAGTTGTGGAAATAACGTTTTAAATTTGGAAGGGTTATATTTATAATTAGGAATCATAGTACATATATAATATATTCATTGAAGTTAAGATGTGACTATCAAATAAAATTTTCGGTACGATACGCGCGCCATCTACTGTAAGTTGTTTGTATTATGCCTAAACATTCGCACAAGTGCAGGCAAAAGTATTATCGCAATCTGATGAACGGAATGGCAGCGCATAAAATACGAACAAACATGCATTACTTTTTATATATTAGATATATTGTAATAATATCACGTACCGCATTAAAATTAAGCTTTCTAATAAAACTTAAAACGATTTAATAGGTAAAAATACAAAAAAAATACTTATAAAAGCAGACATTTAATTTCAAATAATCGATGTTTTTGGCTGAAAAACTATGTTTTTTGTGAGAAATTTTTTGATCACTTAATTTTTAATATTCACCGTGTAATAGCAGTGTAACAATATCCACTACCCCATATCTTCCCGTGGGCGTCGTAAGAGGCGACAGGGAATCTGGACAGGAGATAGGCAGCAGCATCTTTCTGAAAAGAGCAAAATAACAATAACAAACTGCGGTTGCCAACCCGCTCGCCAAGCGTGGTAACTACGGTAAAAATCTCCTCATGAGCAATGATACAAAGAAACAGCCCCTGTCCCCGGCGGCCCCGCTATTCCTGGCGATGTTGGTGAACATGGAAACGGGTGCTAAGAATCTCCGGTAGAGGTTCGGTTGTCACCTAAGACGACTCGACCTGGCAACATTCAACGCACGCTCCCTGAGGATTGGCAAGAAGATCTTGGGTCTGAAAGAAGGGATAGACGTAGAGACGAGGAGGACACTGTAATCCTCGAAGCCGGAACTTAAGGTTTTGGTAAAGATCACACAGGTTTACGCACCGAGCTCGGCACATCCTCGGTGGAGGAAATGTATGAGGATATATCTAGAGCCATACATTCCTTCAAAACCAACAATACGGTGTACACGTTAATTGGAGACTTCAACGCAAAACTAGACACTAAAAAGAACGATGAGCTGATAGAGAACGAGCCAACTGTAGAAGCTGAAGACGGATGTGAGCCACACGCAAGTGTGAGTATCGATCTAAAAGCAAATCTTATCCGACACTATTCTGATGATATGCCGGAAGTCTGAGCGACATTAGAATGGCTCTTCAGCACCTTAAAAACGTCAAGGCACCAAGCAAGGATGGAACACGAAAGTAATTGAAGTCCTTCAGAAGCTCTTTAATTCCGTCCTCCATGGTGAGACTACCCTAGAGGCATGGAGTGGAAGTGCGGTGGTCTTGTTCTTCAAGAAAGCTCTCTTGAAAAACTACAGACCGATGTCCCTTCTGAGCCGCATCTACGTACTGTTTTTAAGAGTCATTAGGAATCGTCTCGCAGACTTGATGAGTTCCGGCCTCCCAAACAAACCTGTTTCCGAAAAGGCTTTAGTACCATAGACTACATACATAGCCTTCGGCAAGTTATACAGAAGACCGAAGAGTACAATCAACCACTTTGCCTTGCGTATGTGGACTATGAGAAAGCCTTTGATTCCATCGAAATTTGGGCAGTGCACAGTCCTTTGAGCTGTGCCAAGTTGACTGTCAGTATATCGAAGTGTTAAAGTGTTTGTACAGTTTGACTATTCGAGTAACCAGAGTACGAAAAAATGACGAGTACAACACACACCTTCGATTTGCCGACGGTATAGTCCATGTGGCAGAATCGTGAAAGGACGCGGAAGGCGTAGTGAGCACTATGCTCAATGACCTCAGTATACTCCCAACGGATAGGTCTTAAAAGGAACAGGAAAAACAAATGTCATGAGTAACGTCCGTGTCACACCTATGCCATTAGTTGTAGATAAGGTCTATCGCAAGACTATAAGTAGTAATAAGTAATAAGAGAGAGAAAAATGTCGTGTGAGCTATACCTGATTGGATCATCTTGTAGTTCTAGAAGATAAAGGCAAGGTATGCGACTAGACATGCTGGATGGATTGTATGAGGGATTTAGGGATGACTTATGCCCGGTGATAGTCGTATTGATGCGTGTTGCGTTCGCGGGTCGCTATTCTGTATTCCAAATAGCGCTTAAGCTCACGACCGAGTAGATTTGCCCAACTCAGGTGACAGATGTCGATGTCGATGATGAGAGATGTCCAATCAAACAATGACCTGTGAACAATCAAATTAATATCTTAGTAATTTTTCGACGTTTGAATGAGTGATGGCAACTATTTTGTGGATGAAACAAACACGATCGAAAAATGCATACCTATAGTTAACGTTAGTTACACATACTATAAATTCAGCTATCAGAAATGTATATCTATACATTTCTGATGTCTGATTTATATTTATATTTATATTTTTGCCTTTGAATATATCAACCATTGGCTGCTGGAGCATACGTTCCAGCAGTAGAGGATGACACTGAAATTCGCGACTTCGTCTTTACTTTTAACGCTTGCCCTTCTCTTACTGACCGTACACGGTGTTAGTCTATGTGGAGTTGTGTGCCTACACAATACAGGTCAAGTTATGATAAAAAGCGTCTAAAAAGTTTCACCCATGTACAATAACAGCGTTGTATTTCTATTGATCTACCATTCTGAAATAGGATTGAAGCGCCTGTATTATTATATTAGCTTAATTTCTTTTGTACGCGTGTAAACACGCGAAAATAGGCGAAGGTGCGGCGCAATCATTGAGCATTGAATTGAATCATCAATTTAGTCTTAGATATCTACGTCACGCCAGAACCTTAAAATCGATACCTACCGGAAAGATTTACTATACTACCTGTATATAAAAACTATTTAGAGCAATACAGCACGATTATATTGGCCGTATGAGGACGCTCAAGGTCGCTCAGCGAGCTATGGAGTGGGCTATGCTCGGAGTTTCTCTGCGTGATAGACTCAGAAATGAGCATATCCGCAGTAAAACCAGAGTGACCGATATAGCCCAACGGATTAGTAAGCTGAAGTGCAATGGGCCGGCCATATAGCTCGAAGAACCGATAACCGATGGGGAAGAAAGGTTCTCGAGTGGCAGCCTCGCACCGTTAGGCGTAGTGTAGGGTGACCCCCCACTAGATGGAGTGACGACCTGGTTAGACATGAAGGAAGTCAATGGATGCAGGTGGCTCAGGACCGTGCTTTGTGGCGTTACTTGGCGGAGGCCTACGTTCAGCAGTGGACTTTTGAAGGGCTGTAATGATGACGATGATGATATTGTCCTGTGTTAGTAGTAGTCACGTGTTATGCCAGTCACAGACTACGCAGATACGATGTTTTATCTAATTAAAAGTGGCGGCCCTAGCATAATTTTAGGTGATGCGAGATCTCATAGTGGCGACCCTCTAAATACAAAACCTTAGTGTTCCTAGACTGTGCAGTTGCTTTGTCGTGATTTTAAATAGTATTAGGACTATCAAATATCTACAGGTGTATGTGCGGGGCAAGCACAGTTGTGTCTGTCGCTCTTGCGTTAAAGAAATGTTATCCATTCCGGTCGCACTACTCTGTTGCGCTCGACAACGCCACTATGCTTGCCTTGTTGCGGTGACTAGTTATACGTTATACAGAATATTTCTCATAATAAGAGTTAATAATCTTGTTTGACAACTTTTATTCTACTGTTGTTCTGCAGACAGTGTTAAAAAAGATGAAAGAACTGCCAACAACAAACTTAATGAAAAACCTAGACGGCCAGCTTTCTGGCTTATGCGCTTGCATTTTTTTTATTAATTCCGAATGATTTAATTTCTGGACAATAGAATTTTCTACGAAAAAGATTCCAATATATGACACTCTCTTCTGACGCATAGCAGAAACGTAGGTCAATTTTTAAATGTTTTAATGTACTAAAACATCGTTTCCGTTTAGCGACAGTTATAGTACAGGTATAATCAGCAAGATGCGAAGTGCTGTCTACACATTTGGGAAAAATATCCTACTGATCATTATTTTTAATAAGTCTGTGAACTTTATGTGGTTCTGCTGATTGAAGATTTTTAAATAATGGGTTCAAGCTCAAAAGTTCCTGAACCAATTTACAGCGATATAAATCACATCATGTCCATCTGTTCAACTGATTTGCAAATCAACACAGGCTTTTTGACCTTTCAGGGATTATTTTCATTTTGTACAAAAAAATAAACACGTATCATAGAATTATTATGGTTTAAGCCAAGTAACCAATGCACTTTTGTTTCAATCACAGGGTAAAAACGTTCATTTTAAGCAATTCTTCAGCATCAGTCGATGTATCGCCTACGGCTTCGTACACAAATAATATTTCGTTTCTTCGGGATCGGGCTGGCTTAAAAATGGATCTATCTGTTATTAGAGCTGATGAAAAGGCCCTATGCTGTTTTGAAATTCTGACAAAATTTTCAAACAATACGACACCTTTGCTAAATCCATAGATTCAGACTGCATAGTTTTTTTGTGCGAGCAGCTATGCAGGTCTAGAACGACCAGTATCATTGCGACATTAAAGATCTATTGTGATCGCTGCTATAGCTATAGTTCACTGCTAAGCTCTATGTCTTTAATGAATAGTAGTTGCTTAGCTGTGAACAATTTCACTTCTGAGCGAAGTAGATGGTTTCCCAGATGTATTACGTTTGCGCATTAAGGCTCCACAATCAGTCAGGATGCGCAGAGGCGTTTCTTCCGTTAAGGAGCAAAACCGTCTCATCATTGATCTGGAAACTTGATCCTTGTTGCTTAGTTCCAGGATGGCCATGTGCTTTTTAAGACAACAGTGTCCAGTCAAGACTCTTATAGTTAG